AAATATTTAATGTTAATTATTTATATTATAATTATTATGAGAAATTATAATTCATACATTTATATTGAATAATTAATTATATTATTATTATCACTAATTATAATTAATGCTTATATAAATTAATATAATTATATATTTATATTATTATTATCAATAATTATAATTAATTATAACTGATAATAACGATTTCTGATAAAATTTAATTACTGATTATAATTACTTACTGATAATTAATTCCTTAATTATAACAATGATAATTATTACTTCGGAATGTTAATTAATTAATGATAATTAATAAGTATTTTAATACTATTAATTATTAATCAGGATAAAATAATTTTATATTTATATTAATTCATATTAGTTATTTTATAAATATATAATTAGTGTTACTTATTTACATTATTATTATTGTAAGTATTTATAATTAAACTATTATTATTCTCCAATAAATATTTCATTTGGTTAAAGTTAAATTATGACCTTTCAATTATCCATTATTTTTAAACTAAAAGAAATATAAAAGCAATTATTATTTCAGGAGTTAACTAAAAATCATAATTATAACAATTAATTATTTGATAATAATAATAATAATTTAATATTACTGATTTCAAAATCAATACACACATAATAAGAATATATTATTAGTAAATAATAGTAATAATAATATACTTATTATCATTACCGATTTCATAATTCTTAATATATTATTAATCTATATTATTCGATAAAGACATGGAATAAAAAAATATCCAAATTGCTACTAAATGAATGATCTAAAAATCTATGAGTATTCTAATTGACTTGAATTTGACACATCAACATGCCCAAAATTATAAATTCAACCTACATTTCCTATTTCTATCTCCCAGTTCGCATAATTCAAACAAAGCATTATGTTATGTACATGTTTCCCTACCTTTTTCCTAAAGATAAATTCTAGCCAGTCTACGTACACTGTGGGGAGCTTAGACTTAAAATCCATAACCATGATCGACCAAAAGAAGCGTTGCCACCAAACTTGGAGGTGACTTCCATACTTAGGATGGTCCCATTATTCTCCTTTCTTTCATGTTTCCTCTGTTGGATGGGCTTTGGAGTTCTGATTAAATTATTAATTGATTGTAGCGATACATGATGATTTGATTGTAGTCATATATTTTTCATCTCTTACTTCGGAGGATGGATGCATTTGCAAATATTGTTTAGCATGGATTGTTTTTCTTAGCGGCTCTTTGAATGATTTTTTTCCTTCTTTGCCTCTTTGAATGGATATCATTTAAGTGCTTTTTATCCATTCATATGTCCCTAAATATTAAGTAGTATTGGTGATATTGTTGTAAACATCCATCTAATTTTACTATTTTATAAATAGATTAATGATTTTAAAGTTATTGATACTTTTTGGGGGTGGGTTGCTCAATAGGACATTGATTTTTTATTGTTAAATAGTAAATTTCAAATTAAATGATATTGTAGTTGCCCCTTACTTAGTATGGGGTCATTGTCTAGATAAAACATGGTAAGTCTCTTAAATCAAATAAAGAGACTATCCTAAATGTCTATTATAAATAATTAAAAATGAAATAATTCAAATTAAATCAAATAATTACTTGCTGAAAATTACTGAATTAAGTAAATAATAATAACAATCAATTATTTATAGAAACAATAATAATAATAATAATAATAATAATAATAATAATAATAATAATAATAATAATAATCAAGTGCTTAATTAAGTAAATAATAAAAAAACGAAATAACAATCATCAATTATCATTAATGTTTATTCTTAAATTCAAAATATGAATTAACAAATATATTATATAATAATTTTAGTCGATTGGAAAATAAATATTTAAATAATTACAAATTTAGTTAATATTATTACTATATAACAAAGAAAATAAATTAAATACTAAAATAAATTAATAATAAAAATGATTAAATTAAAGTAATAAATGGTTCAAGTTGAATTTAGTGACCCGTATAATTTTACGGATTTGACATATAAGGGTCAATTTATGTGGACCCGTAGACTATATGAGTGTCTTAAAAAATGACAGTTTATAAACAATAATAAAAATTGGTAATAAAAATTATTAATGTTTATTCATATATATATATAACTTCTGCGTATTTGCATGCACTAGGTGCAGAATATTCAAAATTATTTTAAAATTTGAAATTTATAGAAAATCTTGAAAAATAATATCAGATAAAAAAATGGTAGCATGAGATTCAATCCATTTACATTAAGTCGTATGGTCAGTATGGAAGAACGAAAAGATCTAGAATAGTCATGATTCCAGGTGATTTTAATGAAAAAAAAAATACCATTCTTTCTTTAAGCACATCCCGGACAGGGGAAAGGAAAAAAAGGAATATCATGCTTAAAAAGGATACTACATTCTTCTAATTATTTTTTGGTATATATACTTAACGTCAAAATTCTGGTGGGATATGATACATTAGTGCTGATATGATCGCACCCCAATTTTCTAAATTTTAGATGCATGAAGAACTGTTTTTCGTTTGGTTCCAACTAGCTGTATGACACCTTTATCAAAGTTACCAAGTTAGACACCTTTAGAGAATATCATATATGTATTATATTGGTTTCTTTTTTCATCTTTTGATTAAAAAAAAAAAGAAAAAAAGTTACCTATTAAGAAGAGCTGAAGAGGGTATGAGAAGTATCAGTCCTGACAAGGCTAAAAACTAAAGACATGGAAGAACCGTACACCAAGCAATCAACCAGCAGCACTATGGAAGGAAATATCAGATTTCACCGTTCGCCAAGTCTCTAGCAAGGATATGGATACATCTGTAGATTATTTTCTAAAATCCTTAAATCTGAATTCCCACCAAACCATGACATTGTAAATTTCTTCTCTGAATAGAAAAGTTTACTTTTTTAATATTAAAAATCAGGAAATATCACTTGCTGAATCTTTTGGTTCAAAGGCTCAGTTTGAAAAGAGGATAAATACAAATATGTAGAGTGCAAATACTTGGATATGGTATTACATACTTGTATTTGCACTCTTTCCAAATTGAGCCTAAATGGAAATGGGGCTACATAACGGAGGGAAAAGTCCTTCCATTAATAAAACTGGTAGAACTTCTTTCCATTATTTTTCTTCTTCTCCATTTTGATCTTCATTTTAACAAACCGTGTTGCTACTTGCTCTGTTTTATGATTTCTAGTGAAACAGCAACCAACATGTGCAGAAAGAAATTGTTCCGGCACAACACACTGAGGAAGTCATAACTATTTTGCTTACCTCCTCCTCCTTACGAATGACAGCACCGCTGGTTTCCTCACTAAAAACACTTGGCACTCTGGATTCAATTGGATGTTATCGCCCATTGCGACTGAGCTAGAAAGCATAGTCATGGGTTCGCTTTGGAATGGACAAATGAACTCAATTATGCCGCATTGCATTTGAGGGCCGCAATGTGAGCTTGACATCTTCTTTACATTATGCTCATAAGCTCAAGGGGCGATCATGGGCCTGGCTGAGACGGGCATCTGTCTTTGTTTCTACTTTGTATTGTATGTGTGCGTGTAATAAATAAATAAATATAAATTAGATTTGTTAAGCCAAAGCTAAAAAATATAAAAGGTCATTTATTAAAATACCTCTTGTAATTTCATTGATTTACTAAAATGTACTTTATAGTTTGTATTTTACTAAAATACCTCTTATAATTTGTAATGGATTTAATTAATCTTCTATTAGATGACAGTGAAAATGGTAGTATCGATCCTAATGTTCATCTAAATAAATTTAATCAAAAATAAATAAAAATATCATTTTTTCCTAATAAAACACAGCCAACCACTCTATTGTTCACTGCCTTGCTTTAATATATATAGATTGCAGGCTGGACCAGGCTATGCCTGAATACCAAACCTAAGCCTAAACCTGGAATTTCCAGGCTGGGCTTGAGATGATCACCTCAATACAAGGCTTGAAATGGTCTCCTCAATGCAAGTCGAACCAAGTTGTTTGCTGAGGAGACTGATTTGTCCCTGGGCACCAACAGGGGTCAAAAGGTTAGAAGTTATCAACTACCCATTTAACTGACCTACTAAACATTCTTGAAGATTAAATGGGTAGTTGATTCCTCTATTAGAGTTTTGCTGGGTGGTTCTAAGTTCTAACTTCTAATCCTTGTTGGTGTTCAGGGACAAATCAATCAATCTCCTCAACAAACAACTCGGTTAGACTAGCATTCGCCTTCAGTTGAACATTTTGATGTTATCTTGAATGTGATGGTGGGGGGTGGGGGGTGGGGGGGAACTTTTTACTATAAACTCTGCGCTGGAGCTTGCTGTTCAGAAAAACTATGGTGGGGGGTGGCTTCCTGTTTTGTTTTGATTTTGTCTGACGCCAAAACTATAGTAGATTTTCTTTCTTTAGGAACTCTTCTCTACCCTGGTTTGCTGGGGATTGGACTGATTCCATAAACTCTTTACCTCTTACCTCTTTTTGTTAAAGTTTCTTTTATGTTTGTTACTAATAAGTTTAATATGGCCGCTCACTGTTTGCCCAGCCCAGGTGGCTAAGAACCTTTCTTCTGCTTCTATTTGTGGGATATTCCACCTTTCCATCTGGCTTGTATAGTTGGTCCTCTTCTTTTGTTAATAGATCTTTGTTTATCATCAAAAAAATATATGTTGGGCCCTATACACACGGTTAAAGGGAGCTAAAATTCTGTACACAAAAGCAACAAGATGGTGGTTTCTATTCCGTCTTGTTTTATCTCCCAAAAGCAATTATTTCAACAACTTAGCAATAGCAGCAATAACATGGAAGTGAGTCTTTGAGAGTACTTCTAACATAATTGCTTTGCTATCATTAATAAAGATACAGCTAAAAAGAAGACAAACAGAGAAGTAGATGGTATTGTTCTGAAATTCAAAGAAGAGAAATCCATGTCATAAAAGCGAAAAATGAAATTAGTAGGTAATTGCAGACTCGAGAAGCCGCTCAAAAAGAAACACCTTCAATAGACATTTGAGAGCATTTACAACATGTACAATTAATGGCAGTATTGACACACGGATATATAACTGCCCTACCCAAAATAAAATAAGGATTGATAATTCATACATATACAACTGCAAATTAGGGGGGAAACATATTGAACAAGGAAAGACCAACACAACCCCATTAACATTACATCTCTACAATGCAATACTGACAAGCAGGTTGGTCCTCCTTGGACAAGTTCTATGTTCCATGTTGTTCCAAAGAAGAGAGAAACCACTCTGTCATAGAAAGTTGGAACAAAAATAATAAAAGCTTGAGCCTTCACGTCAGTATCTTCCATCCGACAAAATTTTTCATATAAAAATAAGGCCATTGTATCCAAATAGAGTCAGCAAAGGCCAGTGGAGAGCACATAGAAATGGATGCTACCAGATACACAGCCTTCATTGCACCATAAGCTGCATTTTTGTCTACATCTCTAAACATTGTTAAAAGAACATAACTTTGCCCACAATGAATCTTTTCCAGACTAAATTTCAATGCCAACACAGAAAATGGTCAAAAATAAGAAAATAACATTTCTTGTGGCTTTAAAGCTTTCGACTCAAAAAGTATTTTGTTCAAGTCATTTTGGCAAGAAAGAAAACAAGAAAAAAAAAATGTATGTTTTCATGGCTCAAAGCTCTTTGATGCTCTCTCCTTTTTCTATTTTTTTTTTGTTTCTATGCTCTCTCCTTTTTCTATTTTTTTTTTCTTTTCATATTTTAGGACTGAATGAAGGTAGGACTGAGATCTTCAAAAAAACCCAAAACACAAACTGAAAAAAAGGGATTAAGGATTTCTTTTCAGGAAAAAGAAATGGTTCAGTACCTTTATCCCCATCCACCTCCAAGGATCAAACCAAATAAAACTAAGGATTGATTTAGCGTATTGCAGTAACAGACCAAATTTTGGCTGTTAGAACAGAGCACCAGTACCCCATCACAACTGGACGGATGAGAATGTTGAAGTCCATCACCAATCAGCTATACAGAGTAAGCAATAACCGCAAGCGGCAATGCTATGATATCCACATGGTGCTCTCTCCATGGTTTCACTATTGAAGCACTAGATCATCCATCAACAATAATCTTATGATGACCTTACCCTTAATCCAGAAAGAATTTGGATTGTTGCAAAGAGGGACTTGGGAAGAATTATCCCCCATCCTTCTCATTGTCTCTGCTGGCGCTTCCTCTTTGTTTTTAAATCGACAACAATGACTGAAATGTTATCAGAGCTGTTTTTCCTGAAAGCTATGTCAGTAAGATGGTCAGCAACAGCTTGTGCTGGTGGTGATGAACTTCCATCAGCTGTTGCACACCTGCGACGCCGCCTTAATATTTGACGAGCCACCTCCCCGACCTCATCATTGGACATCACATCCCAAAGCCCATCACTTGCCACTATCAAACATTCATCATCTTCGCTTCTTGTCATGAAAGTAACTTCAGGTACTGGAATGATCCATGGCCGTAAATACCGATCTCCTGAAACACAAATACAGTCAGTAAGCAATAGTGCCACAAAATGTGCATGGGACAAATTACATGAGAAAGAAAAACCATTTGTTTAATGACACATTTAAAATCAGTTCAACAGAACTTGCTCCTAATGAGACCCAAGCTTTTTTTCTGTGATTAAAAAAAAAAATTCAATCTAATCAGTGATATATGATTTCTACCAAAGCATTCAGTTCAAAATAGTCAATCAGATCAGCGAAAAATGAGTATCCATCCATAACATAGCTTAGAAAAATAAATATCACACCTTTCTGACAAAAAATATGAATATTCAACAAGAGAACTTGTAAGACCTGAACATCATAAAATGCCTTTCACTTAATAAATAAGCACAAGGAAGATGCCCCTGTTACAAACCAAGACAACAAATAATACTTATAATAAAAAAAAACATTTTTTGTTGATAAATAAAAAAAATCTTGGAAGCCTGTCAAGGAACCATTCAACCTAAAAGCTTAAGCTATTAGATAAGGTCCCTAAATAGGTTTTTATTCTCTAATTTGCCTCCTCACGTAGAAGCTTATTGGGCTTGAAGCATGGACAAGCACAGGCCCACCATACCTTGTCCTGGAGTTTAATTAATTATAATATGGTGCAACGGATCGAACACTAGACCACTTGGTCAAACAGACTTTGCTACCATCTCAAGGAACAATTCAACCTAAAAGCCTGAGCTGTTAGGTGAGGTCCTGAATGGGTTTTTATTCTCCAACGCACCCCCTCATATGAAAGCCTATCGGGCTTGAAGTATGGACGAGCACAGGACCACCCATACTTTGTCCTGAAATTTAAGTAATTATAATGGGGTGATGAGAATTGAATACTAGACCACTTGGTCAAACACAGTCTGATACCGTGTCAAGGAACCATTCAACCTAAAAGCTAAAAGCTTAAGCTGTTATATAAGGTCCCCTAGGTTTTTATTCTCTAACAAAGTCAACTTCATTTTTGGTAGGACTTTGCTAATAGATGCATCATTATCCTTTCAGAGTTGATGATGCTTTGACAAACTTGTTTTTATTACAATATTTTTGGTATTCCAACTACAGCATGTACGTTCTCATGTCAAAGAATGTATGCGTGAGGATCTTTAGAAAATCCATCAAATTCTTACAAACCATTTAATAATGATTAGTAAGCATAAATCTAGGATGGTTTTAAATATGTCAAATCACAAATACAACTATACAAGCACACACATATATACATATACAAGGCATCTCAAGGTGTGAGGTATCTGCTCTATGCTTTCAGGAATGAACCTCAAGGATAAGCCTTGAGGTGTACCTAAGAGGAATTTTCCTTGAACCTTGCCTCCAAAAAAAGCCTAAAGTTCTAAACATCGCATGCCTTTTCAAACACAAAAAACAACCTGGCCAAAGTTGGTTCAGTATACTGGAGAAGGCTCATGCTCAGGTTGATCATCTCAAATTAATCCCTAGGTCAGAGCAAGCGTTTTTTTTTTCATAATAAATAGAACTCTGTTACAGAACAGGATAATACAAAAAAAAACAAAACATAAAGGGGAAACTGGACAATTTTGTGATTGCTCTAGTGACTAATATGTTATAAGCTGTGGTTGACATAACTAAACATAATTAATTTCAGTAATTTCTGAACACAACAGGCAAAAAGAAGTTGGGAATGTGGGGTAAAAAGAGAACCTATAGCTCGGGACATAGCAAGTACTCCAAATACCCTAGCACCATTCCAGTTTATGACTCTCCCTCCCCCTCCTTCAATCCTCACCAGTTCATCTTCTCTATCAGGCTGTAAAAAAAATGACAAATTGCATTTAGAGTTAGATTCAATGACATGAAGAAAGATGATGCAAGATCATTAAAAGTTAGTCAATCAGGATATATTGTATGATTCATCAAAAAATTCAGGATACATTGTATGTATTTATATATTTTCAATCCAATGACCAATAAGTCAAACCAAGTCGCATGAAATTTCATTGAAATAATAACAGAGTCCATAGAAAGGACTGAATAAAACTAAGTGGTTAAGAAAAGCAAATGTGTGGATTCTGGTCAATTGCAGTATTTTCAGGAAATCCAGTTTTCAGCCAACATCCGAGGCATTTATCCCCTATATGAGGTGAGACTGAAGGTATGGAAAACAATCCAAGAGAAACAGAAATATGCATAGTTGAACGTGGAGATCTTGATAAATAATACATTTAATTTAAAGGTAATCAACGTCCATATGGGAAAAAAGCTAGATCCATAAAAAAAAAAAAAAAAAGTTAGAGATGTCTAGTATAACCTTGTGATCAACAGTTAAAGGGATGGCTTGAGTGCCTCGACAAAGCACTGCCCTTGAGTCACCGCAGTTGGAGGAAATAATCTGACACCCTGATACAGCTACTGCTATAGCAGTTGATCCAACCATTTCTGGCGCTATTGCTTCTGTCACCACCTCATTGTCAGCCCTCTCAAAACCACTATAAAATGCTGCTTCCCACCTCTTACGCCACTCATCCCCACCACCTCCTAGCTTGTCCCATTCCTCTGCTACTACTTCATGGATCCGCTCAGCACAAAATTTGGCCACCTATCAATAAAACAAAGTGCACTAATGTTGGCAATCCATTTGTGGGATTCAAATTGCCTACAAGTAATGTCACTTAGAAACAGGATCAATGAGGACAGACTATTGCAAGGCATGCCATTTGAAACCAACTACTTATCAAAAGAAGTGATTCACCACTGTACAAGTTCAGAAATGGCTGTAAATGCACCCAATGTTGGTCCCAGCTATTTGGTAGGGTTAGACTCGATAAAGTCCTAACCTTTGGCATTTTGATTGCACAAAGTGGTCGTTCTCAGACTCGAACCCGCATTCACACTTGCCAGCCTGAGATTTTACCATTACACCATGTAATGGCCCCTTCAGTAATGACTGTAAAATGGACCCAAAACTAGCAATCTAAAAATGGCCTAAATTTCCTAGACCATGTTGTGAATCCATGGATCTGTCATCAAATAAGACTCCCCTTTAAAACCACCAATTTGTCATCAAAATTCAAAGGTTTCAACTGCATGGTCTCACATGAGAATGCTTACATTGAATTATTTTGAAAAAAGCAAAGTGGAAAAATGCCAACATGGGGTTGACCAATAGAGGTTTAATAAATGGAGACCTACAAATCTTTAATCCATTATATACACAGAGGCAGGCATACAAGATACAACGATCTACAGAATTACAGAAGTCCATATTAATACAAAATATAGGGAGCATAATGTGCAATTTTCCCAAAATTTGCTGATACAACCCATGAAATATCCAATTTAAGGTGTCCGAAATACCAAAAGGAATTTTCATGATTATAAAATTTCATCATCATCTAAGCCTTGTCTCAATTATATGGGATCAGCCACATTAATCCTCAATTTAGGCATGGCCTAAATACAACCGAGGTGATGCAAATACCAATCCTGAATTTAGACATGGCCTAAGTATCAAACAATCCCCACGCCACCCACACACAGATCACAGATCACAGAAAAAAAAAAAAAAAGAAAAGGAAAATTAAAAAAAAAAAAAGTAGAAGACTCCAAGCCCCAGAACCACCATAACCTCAGCTAAATTTAATTGAGTTCATGATGCAAGAAAAATGCTTTCAGAATAAAAGAATCAAAGCTATCAACGGCCAGACTGAGATTCACACAACACCACACCCCATCCCCGAATTTGCATGAGGCTACCTCATATGCCAATCCAACGGTTGACAGCTTAAAAGCATGTGGTCATGATAGTTTCAAATTACTTTCACCGAACACACCGTCAGAAGAGTCACTTTTTTTTTCTAGCGGAGCGATTTCGGAGGAGGAAAGGCATAAGCATGCATCAATGTCATGCTATTTCTCCTTTCTTCTTTTCTTTTTTGCTTTCTGTTTTGCTTTTCGGTTAACCATGAGGCCATGACCACGCCAATGTTGTTTCAGGACTCATGACTCATCAGGAGAGGAGAATATACCCGCCCCACAGGCCACAACAGAACATCAGTCATCCCTTTTCTCATTCTGTGTACCCTTTTAGGCCTTAGCCTACACTACAGACTACACTTACACAGATGACAGATGCACTGATGCACACACATGCTCCCCTCTTCCCACTCCCCATCCCCAGTACTCGGAAGAGTGGCGCCGCGACCTAGCTTGTGCGGGGCCCACTCGTTTGGACCAATCAGAACCGTGACATATCCCCATCTACATATAGTGACATCATTCAAAAACTACTGACATCACAGCCTGAAATTACACGTGTCCCATATGGAATAGGACGGGACACGACAATAAATAAAGTTTCCTGATATGGAGTTTGTTTTCTTTTAGAGACCACTGTTTGTGTGCAACGTGTCCTTTCTCTGTCACAACAATTTTTTTAAAATATATATCCATTCATTCAGGACTTTTTTTTGCTTATAAGGCGAGAATTTAATTTTCTCGCAGTATCTCACAAGATAAAGTCGATCTGCTCACGGGAGTTGGAGTACCTCAGTTTCTCGTGAGATTATGGTCGTGTTTCTTCTCATTAAAAAGAAACAAAAAAAAAAGCTTTTTTATTCTTCTCCTATTATTATTATTAGGGTATTATGAAAAAGAAAATATTAAAGAAAAATAAAAGAAAATAAGAAACCTGGGAGCCTCCATGACCGTCGTAGACGCCGAAGAAATGGACGGGCGAGATCTCGCCGGAGGTTCTAGAACCGGAGGCCGTACAACCGCCAACATGATCGCATGTGCAAGACATAAAACCAGGAATAACGGCGACGGCATCTTCCATCTCTCTCCGCCTCCCAATGATGGAAGTGAAGCCCCACGTTATTCCTTTGTTCTTCCTCCCCACGCACCTCTCCCTCGCCATCAGCGTCACCGAGAACTCCTCTCCTCCTATGTTGCCGTCATCGCATGGAGCAGGGCAAACCAGCCTCGGCACTACTGCCTCTGCGACGACTGCGGTCGGAATCTCGCCGGAGCTGCCACTACCGCCGGAGATGTCGCTGGAGCTAGTGGTGCTTCTACTGTCTTCTGTCCCCAAGAGTGAAGATACGCCGGAATCATTCGATGCCACGTCGGATTCCCGGTGAGATCCGACTTGATGGAGATCTTCGTCGTCCAACGGATCCATCTTCCTGTCGAAACCCTCACATTCACCAAAGCAGTCAATCTGATATTAGATAGCGTGGAGAGAGAGGGAGACAGGAGTGTGTGCGGACTTAGGACAATCAGGGCAGGCCGACAAGGAGAGAGAAAGAGAGGAGGAGAGAGAGAGAGAGAGAGAGAGAGGAGAGAAAAAGAAGGAAGAGAGAGCGAAGGAGGAGCGACGATGGGATAAAAGGGAGAGGAAGTTAAGCAGAAAAGTGACACGTGTGAATAGATATGAGTAAGATGGCACACGTATCCGTAGTGTGAACAGGAAAAGCAGTTTTGATTACAGTCGTACTCAGCTACGTTCCGTAGTACCACCACGTGTCGATGCTTAGTCTGTGGATGCGAACCGTCACTTGAGCCACGGCTTTGGGAACTAGCTTATATGAAAGCGAAAACCAGGAATGAAGGAAGTCCATGATTCACCCGCGTTCACTAAGGACAAAATCCCACTCCTAACATCCCATTCGAATCTCATTATACCTTTACCTATGATAGTAAAGTAACAACTAGGTTAAATCTTAATACTAAACATTGTTGGTTAAAATCAAAAAAATCGAATCGAAATTTTTGGTTTCATTTTTTTTTGGTTTTTGGTTTTTTTATTCGGTTATTTGATTTTAAAAAATTTTGATTTTCAGGATTAAAAATTTGATTAATCAAAAAAATCGAATTAATCAAAATTTATTATATACATAATATAATATATATTATTAAAATGTAAAATATAATATATTATATAATATTAATATATATAATATACAGTAACATATACATATATTATGATATATATATATAAATATATTAATATATATAATATATAATATGTATTAATATAATATTAATAAAATTCGGTTTTAACCAAAATAATCGAATAAAAAAATTCGGTTTTGTTTTTTTGGTTTTTTAATAATTTGGTTTAAGTTCGGTTTTATATTTTATAAATTCGGTTTATTGAATTCTCACCCCTATATTACATGTTGTGTGTCCACCGGCACTATTATACTAGGCTCTTTGTTTTTCTAAAAGTGGGGCGGGTTTTAGTGTGTCTTGAAAAAAATAAAAAATTTTTAGCGATTCATTTACTCATCTAATTAATATTTTCTTGGACAAATTTCTTCAATTACTGGTTTAGCTAATTGACTAAGTCTACATTTATTGTTATTTATTGTTTGACTATTGTCTTGCACCACCCCCAATTACTTAAAACCTCTCTTATTGTTATTGTTTTGTCATAAGCGGTTCATATCTGATATCACGTGATTGATATCTTATTCAAAAATCCCTTATTTACCCTTTTATGGTCAAAACTGTCATTTTTGGTTTGGGCAATACGATTCTCCTCTTTCTCTCTCTTCATTTTTTTTAATTTTTTCTTTCGATTGTTTTTATCTTCCCCTACAAAACTGTCGCTCCCTCTCTCTATTCTTCCATCTCTTTCTCTCCCCCCTTTCTTCCATTGTTCGATTTTTTTTCCCCTTCATTCTCTCCCTCTTTCCCTTCCCCTTGTTTCAATCTGGCAACGGAGCGTCGCTCTTAACACACAGTAGCAACGACATCACTAATATCTACTTTGGTAGATCATTCTCTCTCATTTTTTTACTCTTCACATTACATCACTCTCTCTACCTCTCTACATCATTCCCAACCACACTAGGCTCATCACTCTCTCTAACTCTCTACATCATTCCCAACCGCACTAGGCTCATCTTCTGTCAGTGGGTTTAAACCCAATTGGCAGCCATTTTCTTTTTCGCATTTTTTATGAAGATGAGCCAATTGGGTTTCGATTGAGTAGAATTGAACATGCTAAAGCCTCCCTATTACAACATCACACAGTCAGTCAGAATATAACTTAGGTAAGTTTCGTTGTTGCCTAGTTTCATTTTTTTTTCTTTTATTTTTTTTCTTAGCTTAGCTTCTCCACATCATTGTTGTGATTGGGATGTGAGGTTGGGGAAGAAAACTGACGAATGTGGTTCTGTCAAACCGAACCCTATAGGCCTTTGACCCCAACCCAATCCGTCTATTGCTTCCTGCTAGGTTTTAATAGCATGTATATTTAACTCATATCTGTTAGTCTCAAAAGATTGGACTGTTGTTGGCTCTGTTTTTCTTCCCAAAACCAATTTCATACTCTAATGAATGTTGTTGATAATATTGTCTTTAATTTTATCCCCAAAACCTATTTCATGCTTAGATGGATACCGTCGGTCAATATTTTCAAACCGTCGTTAACCAAGATGGCCGGACCGTTTGGCCCAAGAGCCATCTAGGCAACTGGCTCTGTTTTGTCCCAAACTCGGAATCTGGTAAAAAACCATTGAAAAAGTCAATAAACCATTGACCCAGGTGGTTGAATCGTCGACCTATTCAAAGGGTTTTGATTGTTTTTATTTTTTTATTTTTTTAATTTTTTTAATTTTTTTAATTTTTTTAATTTTTAAAATTTTAATGTCAGAACAGACCGTCCTTTCGAACCAAACGGTCAGACCGTTGACCCAGAAATCGGTGCCCAGAACTATTCCATTTCTAGGTCAATTTTTAAAACGTTGCCATCGGTAATGATGTCTTTATTTTTTCTATAATATCAATCTTATATATGCTCTGATGGACATTGCAGGTAGTGTTGTTGTCTGTTTGATCTCATTTTAGTCTACTTTAAATCTGGCTTTTTACTTGGGTTTCAATTTAGGTGTATTGTTTGAATCTGAATTTTGTATGCCTGTTTTCAGTTTTATTTGAGTTAGATCCATAAAGTGTTATCAGTTTGTAGGCAAGTGAAATCCATTTCTTATTTAGTGGTTAGAGGTAGTAAAAATGAATGAATATTACATTAATAAGAAGAGTAAAAAAGATGAAGGATTCCTGAAATTTTTCATCAATTGGGTTTTATTTTGAAATTTTGAGGAATAATAAAAGGCAAATTTGACATTTCATTTTTTCGTTAGCACTTAACAGTGGTGTCAATTGTTAGAAACAGTAGAGGTATTTTAAGATAATCTGTAAACAGTAAGGGTAGAATTAGTCAATTAGCTAAACCATAAGGATAGTTTAAGAAATTTGTCCTATTTTCTTTATTTGTAGAATTCTAATTTTAATAATATCACTTTTTTAATAAAAATGCACAACTTTACCTCTAAAATAAAATAACACTAGAAAATATACTGCTAACTTATATAAATGCATTTACTCAAATAAATGACTTATTGAGACGAGAATGAGACCTTAGATGTGGTATCCATAAACGATCGTATGATGATATGTAAATATCCATCTTATAAATAAACTTTTCATTGCACGTCTCGAAAAAGAAATTAGAAAGAGAAAAAAAACGATAAGAGACGTTGCAATTTCATGGTCAAGAACTCAAGATGATCTGCTTACGCCGAACCAACAACAATTCAAAAATAAAAAATAAAAAATTGGTGGACCAATTGAAGTATCAGGTCTCCAAGTGGTATCTGTCTATTTGAAATGGAATTCAAAATTGGATCCATAATGGGAATTATGAATTCAATCTAGCACGAATCCTAATGCCGTCTCGAGTGAGCTAGATGAGTCTTGAACTGGTAAATTGGACGATTTGAATTGGATCCAGCAACATGTGAACACAAATGGCCAAAGACTTTAAGGTGGTTCTCTGGGAGAGAGATTTTGACACTCAAGCTAGTAAGAGCAAGAGAGGTCGGTTAGGCCAAGCTGTATCAAAAAGTAGACTTGTTTACGAGTCGAGCTTCGGGTTTGACTTACACTGTATCGGGTTTAGATTTTTGGCCGGGCCTCATTTAAAATTTGGCAAAAGCCAAACCCCAACTCAAACCATAAATAGGTCTACCGGAGAGCTGAACCAGTCATATAAGCTGAAGAGTATAATAGAAGTTGAAGTGTTAGTATGCTTATTGCAGGAATGCATAGACGGTCTTACCTTGGGCAGCTTGCCCTTATTAGATGTCTAGAGAGCAATTACGCTTTCCATTCATGGGGCAAATGTCATCCTCTTAAACAGAGTTCAGATCTGTATCTCACAAAGTGGTAAGCGTGAGGCGCACTCTGTGAGTAACAGATCCAAACTCTCTTTAAACAATCTCTTATTGAGCAGTTTCCTGACATGACCTACACACTCTATCATGGGTGGGGGGAGGAGGCTCCAAGCAACTGCACCAACTTGGGTGGTTAGTTCGAGGTCTACCGATGTTTGCCATGCAGACACATGGTGTTTCCTCGACATTAGCTTGCTAGTCATGCTCAACCTGTAGCCATGGTTCCTTGATATCGACTAGCTTGTACATGTGTCCTTCCTCGTCTTCTCCACGTGTTAGTCCTTGACTACTTAACCATGTAGCGATCCTTGTTGGATGTGGATTATGGTTCCATCAAATCCAAAAATCCAAACTCCATAATATTTGAGTAGCGATCCTTGATTTAGATGTTTTATTTACTTTAGTGGCAAAAGTAAAATTTTTATTTACTTGGTATTCATATCCCCAACTTTGTTCTTGTTTAAAATTACAAAGTCATACACATTGGTCAACATTGAAACATTCCTAAAGTAAATAAAAAATACAATGAGAAAATGATTAGTGTTAGGAGGTATTTTCCCAAATTATTACACTTATTTGAAGTAATTATTTGGGGTGTAATGTTTGATGAGTCACTTAACAAATAAGTATTTATATTTATAGAAATGACAATTGTAACTATGAAGAGTTGCCCAAAACTAACTAAAAGTGAAAAAAAGGAGGGGAGATTTATGTACCCGAATCCGCCACTAGTTTGTGTTGGAGTTCAAATGAAGATTCTGAAATGAGGGCATTTGATGAGATTCCGAAAGAATGATGGGGTCAGTTTTGTGGCTTGTTTTTTTAAGTATTTATTTCAAAAATAAGTACTATTCGCTCCTTTTTTGTCAAATTCAAATGAGTGCTTATTTACCACTTATTCTATGGTCTTACCACTTATTTTTTAAGTACCTATTTAAATAAGTATTTAAAATAAGTGATACCAAACAAGGGCTAAAAATGATAGTAAGAAAATTCAAATGTAATATAATGCATAATTTAGAAATTTTAATTAAAATACAACCAAACTTCATAAAAGGATAGATTTAGGAGAATATCACCCATAGAACAAGGGTATCATTTTCATCAGCATGGCC